AGTGATTTGGGCGAGGTCTGCGCGGCCTTAGCTCAAGAGGAATACTGTGACGACCGTGTGTCCTCAGAGTTGCGACTCAGCCGCCTCACGAGACGTACAGTTGATACAACAACTGGAACTGGTCTACCAAATCGCTGTCTTCATCGAGCCAGCCTGATTTCAAATTCCTCAACCCTTACCTTATGTTATTCCACTGCTGAAGAATTTGTGATTTACTTTCTCAAGAACTTGAACTGAAGCCTTTCATCATGATGCTTTCTATTTCTTCAGTTCGTCTTCCTCATGCTTGGATGACTGCATGATTGCATGTTCTTCATCTGTATGTATCATGTATGCATGTTTTTCATTTATGAGATGAATTAGTCTCCCCGTGTTTCTATTTCTTCATTCCAATCTTCGTCAAATTCCTTATAGTTTGGCGAATTTCAAAAATCTCCCATTCACCCCCTCTGGAAGTTAACCCGCACTTTCAATAGATATCAGAGCAAAGATACTTCCTTGTTCTGTGTGATTTTGGTTTAACCACTTGGAGTTTTAGTTATGTCGACCGCATGTATGAAGAAAGTATCTGCTGTGTACCCCATCTTCAACGACACCGACTATCCCAAGTGGAAGGCTTTGATGCGGAAGCGTCCCCTATCCATGAACAGTGAGGTGTGGACTGTCACTGAGATAGGATTGACTGACCACTGCAATATGGCGAATGCTGATGATATTCACAAGTGCACTCAGCTGGATATACGAGCAAGGGATGTCATCTGCTCCAGTCTATCTAGAGATGAGTTTAGACGATAGCCGCAACCGATGAGAGGCAGCAGTTTGGCGCGACGACAACAACTCGCATTTGTCAGGTTCCAACGATGGACCATCGTCGACACTATAGATCGAGCCCACACCGCCGCCTCGTGCCTTCCCCGACTGCAGCAGGCTCACTGACGCGCCCGGCCGCCGCTACCCGCCATCAAGCTGCAGGGGACCAAGATCGGTCCGCCGCCACCTTGGATCCCGGACGCAAAGGAGGTCCACCGCTGTCGCACCACATGGCCTTTGCCAGACAACGTTGCCGGCAGCGGCGGAGGGAGGAGGAGGCGCAGGGGGTCGAAGGGAAGCCCGGTGGTGGCCGCCCGGTGCGGACCGGCGGCGGCCGCACGGGGTCGGGAGAGTGGGAAGAGTGTACTATTGAGGTGTGGCTTAATCATAGCCCCCCATTCATTGAAAAATTTGTGCTTTTTGATTGTAACTCTTTAAACTTTGAATAAACTTCATTTTTCCTGAAAAAACAATATCTTTTTGTACTCGAATTTAGCATATTTTAAAAACTGAATTTAGCACTTCTGACCAATTCCTAAAACTTGAACAAAGAGGAAAAACTAACTTAAAACCCTTAGGCCCCAAATCGCCACCATGGCCTCCGCCTCTGCTTCCCTCTCCTCCCTCGCTTCCTCCGCCGCCGCCGCCGCCGCGATCTCCTCCTCCCCGGGCTGCCCTCCTTCCAAACCCTTTCACGATCCAAAACCTCTTCATCTTTCCGTCAGACTATTCTCCCGTTTCGCCAAACCTCAATCGCTCTCCTGCTCCGGGCCGCATGTCCCCCGCGCCGCCACCGGCGACGGATCGGGTGCTGGGAACCGTGGGGGCGACTCGGGAGGAAACGGCGGAAAAGATGGAGGTGGAAACGATGGCGACGGCGGCGGCGAAGACGACTACGAGGAGGCCGAGTTCGGGCCGCTGCTCGGCTTCAGCGAGGTGGTGCGCCTCGCGACCGCCCGCGGCGTCACGCTCCCGGCCGACATGATTGAAGCGGCCAAGGACGCCGGCATCCGGGAAGTGATTTTGCTCCGATACTTCGATTTGCAGGTATACCGAATGGCGCACTTCTTTTCCTGAGGCCTAAATCCGGCGGTTTCCTCACCTCTTTCCATCCCCGCAGGCCGCACCATGGCCACTCGCCGCGATGATCCGGGCCTTCTCAGTGCTCCGCAACAGAATGCTCGCCGATCCGTCATTTCTCTTCAAAGTTGGCATCGAGGTATGTGCGATTCATCGTTGACTATTTTTGTATCAGAACTCAGAGCTGGTGTTTTTATATTTCAGTCCTATGCTATTTTGAAGTTGGGGTTCGAATGCAGGTTGTGATCGACTCCTGCTGTGCAACGCTTGCGGAGGTGCAGAAGAGGGGGGAGGATTTTTGGGCAGAGTTTGAGTTATACGCTGCTGACATTTTGATCGGGATTGTTGTTGATATCGCTCTAGTTGGGATGTTGGCTCCATATGTTAGATTGGGAAAGGCTTCTTCGTCAACGGGGCTGTTAGGGAGGTTCAACCGGATGGCTGGAGCTTTGCCAAGCAGGTGAAATCGTATTTCACTATAAGTTCCCACCACAGTGGATAGATAATATGAGAAGTAAAATAAGGCCCAGTTTGTAGTTTCATTTGTCATGACCATCAGATTCTATCCAAGAAATGGAATGAGATAGTGTGGATGGATTCTGTAGTATTCTTCTCAATACAATTTGTTTTCCAGTCCGACATGCTGATTTTATGGCCTCTTACCTGTAGTGTTTTTGAAGCTGAAAGGCCAGGCTGCAGATTTACAGTCCAACAAAGAATCGGGACATACTTTTATAAGGTAATGAATGAATCTTACATCAAAAGTATGCACTCTGAATATAGCATCATTATCTGATATTCTGTTTTGAATTGCTGGAGCTCCATTACGTTGTTTGAATCGGGTTGTTTTTATCCCAGGGTGTTTTGTATGGCTCAGTTGGATTTGTCTGTGGTATTATCGGTCAGGGAATTTGCAATATGATAATGAATGCCAAGAGGTAATGCTTGTGCCTTTTGTGCTTTTGATACATAATCATTTTTTCTCCCATTATACTATCCTTTTGTAAGGTCTTTCTACAGGATTTCTTTGTTGTTTGTTCACCACCTCAGTATTGCCAATAAATATTATTCTCAAATTATGTTTCTCTTATCTTGACTTGTGTGATTTTGCTTGGTTCTGTTCATTTTTCAGGAGTGTCAAAAAAACAGATGAAGATATTCCTGTTCCACCACTTATTAAAAGTGCTGCTCTTTGGGGTATGTATATTGTGTATTTTTTTCATTTTACTACTTATTTTACTTTGACCACATGTTCAGTAATTGCGAATGTGGGTTTGCTGTCCACTAAAGAGATATCTAACAGCTGAGACAGATAGACATATGATATGGGAAGCACCTGGGTGCTCCACACCCCATAGGAACATTAAATTCAAAAAAATACCGAGAAATTTGAAAAAAATCTGAGATTTTGGGATATCAAACCTGGGTTCCCTTTCCTGGAAACAGCCTCTCACAGAATTGTAGGGAAAGGCTGCATACAATAGACCCAAAGTGGTCGGACCCTTCCCCGGACCCTGCGCAAGCGGGAGCTACATGCACCGGGCTGCCTTTTTCTTTTAAACCTTGGTTCCTGACCTACTCCCGTGTGAAATTTCGTGAAAAAATACTAGGAAACGTATTCGTGGCAAAAAAGACAAAAAAAATCTTATTTATAGAAAAAAACTGTTTGGATGGATGTTGTTCGGACAGTATTTCCTTCGCCACGGATACGTCTCCTGGTATTTTTTCACTAAATTTCACACGGGAGTAGATTGAGAACCCAGGTTTGATATCCCCAAATTTCAGTTTTTTTTGGTATTTTTTACCTTTAATATTTGTATAAGGGTGTGGAGCACCCAGGAGCTCCTGTGCATTTTCCATATGATATGAGCATACTTTAATGTTTAATGTCAGTTTCTCTTGGTTTCACTAAAATTTCTTGAACATTTCTCTAACTATGTTAATTCAGACATTTCTATAAATTGTTTTTTTTACTTGCTACTCCTGATTTATGTCATTTCTTACTATTTATGTCATTTCTTTCTGCAGTGGGCTTCCTGATTTATGCCCCATACTAGTAGTAGCACATAACATTTCTATGTTCCATTCCTCAACTGACAATCAATGTTAACTTGTAGGCGTATTCCTTGCTGTATCGTCTAATACACGCTATCAGATCATCAATGGTCTGGAGCGAGTAGTTGAGGCATCACCAGTTGCAAAGGGTGCCCCTCCTGTTGCAATGGCTTTCACCGTTGGTGTCCGCTTTGCCAATAACATCTATGGTGGTATGCAGTTTATCGACTGGGCTCGATGGAGTGGTGTCCAGTAATGGTGAGTGATCCTGTTTTAGTTGTTCATCTTGTCATCATCTTACCAATAGTATGTCATGGAAAATCAATTTATACACCTATTCGTTGAAACATGAAATGCTTCTAGGTGATGTCCTACCATTATCTTGCATCATTTGGAAAGATGTGTAAACATTCCATTTTTTTAAAATAATTCTTGCAGACCCTAAGAAAACATCGAATTGTGCGGTATTCTTCAGGGAGGAATTCAAGCAAGAGATCCATACAAGCTTCGTTGTCAGTTTTTCACCTTTGCTGAGAGGCAAGCTGCAGCCCTGTGGTGAAATTCGGTCACTGGGAGAAGAGCGAAGAAGCAGATGATATTGCAACGTTGAAAGGTTGTCAGACATGAGCTATGAACAGTATCTTTTCAATTATTTCATTCCTGTACCAAGTCAAACACTCGTGTAACGTCGTCGTTTAGTTTAATCACATGAGTAATGTGATGTGAGTTGACTACCCAAAATAATGGTGTGGGAAGTAGGAAGGATGCCTATTACTACTATTGAAAAAAAAACTGAAAAAAAATTGTCCGCATCTATTTTGTGGGAATGATGGTCCAAATTGTCGGCTGACTTAAACCTCGCTGGCACACTGGATAATGACGGAAGTACATCTGCCGAAAATGACGTGACTGATTCATCATACGACTAGTAATCGATTGAAGAAGTCCTAGCATGACAAATCACAACTGAAGGCGTGTTGCAGCTTGCCTAGACCATCCAATCTGAACACGCGATGGGCATATACTCGAGGCGAAGCATGTGCTAGCAGCACAAGATGGTCCTGACCATGGCGGCTATCACTCTCATGCCGCTGCTGGTGACGCTTCTGGCCGCACCAGCCACGGCGGCCGCCGCGCCCGTCCGCCGTTGCCCGACGAGCTGCGGCCTGATCGACTTCTCCTACCCGTTCGGCGTAGGCCCCCGGTGCTCGCTGCCGGGGTTCAACCTCACCTGCGACGCCAACGGGCGCCTCCTGCTCGGCAGCCCCAGCGTCACGGTGGACTACACGATCTTGGCGAGCGGCTTCATTTCCTCGCTCGCCGTCAACATCGTGCGCACGGTGCGCATGGGACCCCGCGCCGGCGTCGGGACGGTCTCCGCCTCATGGGACGGCCCCGGCAGGCCGTTCGCCATCTCCGGCACGTCTAACATGTCGCTGTTCGTCCTCGGCTGCGGCGTCACGGCCACGCTGCTCGACCGTGGGGCTGCGGTGGGGAACTGCTCCGTGGCCTGCGCCGGGGAGGAGGTCATGCGGAGGCTGCCGGACGGGCTCTGCGTCGGCGTGGGCTGCTGCCGCATCAATGTACGCGTACACCTCCGGGCGTTCACCGTGAACTTGTCACGCACCGGCGACGGTGTAAGCCGGGACAAACTGACCTTCTTCGTCACCGGCCAGGGCAGGTACACGTTCCGGCCCAGCGATCTGGAGCGTGACATTCATCCCGACATGGTCCCTCCGGCTCGGCTGGACTGGGCCATCCCTGGCCAGCCAGACTGCCGGCACGCCATGGACGACAGGGTGACATATGCCTGTGTCAGTAACCAGAGCGAGTGCCGGGACTCGCCGATCGGAGGCTACGCCTGCCACTGCTCCCGGGGCTTCTCCGGCAACCCCTATGCCGTCGATGGCTGCGTGCCAGACCAAGGTGATCCCCTCCGTCTGTCATGACTAATGACATATGAATGGCAGTTGATATCTATTTCATGGACAAGTTTGGTCTGACCATTTTTTTCACTCTGTCCAACAGTTTATGGCTCCATTCAGCCGAAGGCGAACTGTCCGACGATGTGCGGGAACGTGAGCGTTCCATTCCCCTTCGGCACAGAGCTGGGCTGCTTTGCCAGGATCCATCTTTACCTGACATGTAACCCAGGGCGCTCTCCTGCCATCCTCCAAATGACCCAGCACTCATATCCATCGACGAGGGCGTGTTGAGGATTCAGAAGCGGTCCGACCCGGGTGATTTCTTGGGGGATCGAGACACCACGCTCTACTCGTTCTCTGGAGAATCGGGCATGGTGAAATGGGCTGTCGATGACCCGACGTGCAGGGAGGCAATGCTGAACAACAAGGAGTACAGATGCTTGAGCGCTCATAGCCACTGCGTGGATGTCACCGACGACAGAACAAGCAAGCATGTGGGATACAGGTGCAAATGCTCTTCCGGTTTCCAAGGAAATCCTTACCTCCAAGGTGGATGCACAGGCAAGTTCTTGATTTTTTTTCGCGAATACACAGAGATTGCATATCTTTGCTTGATAGAAGAAAAGAGAATGAGTACAGCATAGGGTACAATACATGACATGAACGCAAGAGGGCATGATCATGGAACCCAGAGCAGAGAGACAAGGGGTGCTCAGGCCTCATTCAGTTTGAAGGATTTCACAGGCACAATGTAAGAATGAGGATTCCGGAGGAAAGATTTCTATAGATGCATTCGGTTTGTAGAAATTCCTTAGGAATACTATTCATTTTCTTGTTTTCTAAAGAAACCACACATCCACTCAAAGCTTATTTTTTTGCGTAGGAACGAGGCAATTCAATCCCTTAGGATGATGGCAAGTGTCATTGTTAGAGTACGTAATGGGCCCATTAGTCTTAGGGTTAATTAGAGATAAGGGTCGTTTGTTTAGGGGTCAAGTAAGCCTTGCTTGGGAGTCAAGTAAACCTCTCTATATAAAGAGAGGAGATGTATCAATCTAATCAAGTAAGAATTAAGAAGGAAATCCCTTCCCTCTTGCCCGGCCGTGGGCAAAAAGGCCCCCGGCCGGCCTTCTCGCGCCCTCCTTCTAGCAGCGTCATAACAATTTGGTATCAGGTAGCTCAGTTCCTATCATGTCTTCGTCGTCGCCCACCCCGTCGCTTCCGCTGCCGACCGTCACCACCGCGCCGCTGGCCGTCTACACCGTGCCGCTGCCCTCCCTGTCCGCGCCGCTGGTCGCATCCTCTGGCGCCGCCACCGCCCAGATGCCGGCGCCCTCCACCGCACCACCTGCCGCCGCCTACACCCCGGAGGAGATCACCGTTGTACTCAACGACCTCGTCACAGCCGTCCAGGGGATTCGGCTGTACCTGGCCAGCCCCTACGGGCCGCCGCCGCCCCTGCCGCCGACCATCGCCACGGGGCCGCCGCCCCTGCCGTGGTACTCGCCGCATCCAGGGGCCTCCACGGCGTTCACTCGGATGCTGCAGCCCCAGCTGCAGCTCCCGCCGCCGCCCGCCGCCGCCCCGCAGTGGCCGCAATGGCCGGCGCCGACTCCCGCCGCGCCTCCAGCGCGCGTCGCCGCCCCCGCGCCGCCGTGGCTGCCGTGGCAGCCGCCGCACCAGGCGGCCTTCGCCGCGCTCGCCGGGCCACTGCAGCTGCCATCCATCGCCACCACCGCCCAGCCTTGGCTGCAGTGGCAGCCGCCGCGCCCGGCGCTTTGCCGCAGCAGCCGCTGCAGCTGCAACAGCCATCGCCGGTCAGCTCCGGCCCCGCATCGACCGCGCCGGCGGGAGTCCCGCTTCACCAAGTCCAGTCCCCGCCGTCGCCGTCACCGCCTCCGTCTTGGATCGCTACCCGCCACGTGTCGGCGGCGGCGAGGCTGCAGGCTACTGCGCGCGGCCTCCTAGCGCGGCGGCGTGTGCGGGAGATGCGTGGTCTGCAGCTGCCGCTCCTCCAAGTTACCCTTCACTGCGCAAAGGACCTCGATCTCATCCGCTGTGTCGGGGATCTTGGGCATGCGGTTTCCCCCACGGGCGGCGGGTATGCTGTTTTCCCCGCGGGCAGCGATCTTAAAGTCTGCGACATCGGCGCCTCCTCGTCATTCTCCATCGCAAGCCCTCCACTCTTCCCTGTGCGGTGCAATCCAATAGCCGTCCGGCAGGGAGAAGGCATGGTGTCACCGACAGCAGCGCACCGCGTAGCACCACTGCATTCCGCCACCGGCCGCCACGAGGGCGCCTCTGCTGGTCACTCTTGTGGTGTCCATGGGATCCAGGGGGTTGTACACGTGCACGTCCGACGTGCGGATGGTGTCCACTTTTTGTTAAGGGGTCCAAAATAAAGCGTCCCAGTCCATTTTAGGTTCAGAATAATAAAACAAGCCGAGATGTAAAAGGCTTGTTTTTAGGTGTTAGGTTTGTGTTGCGTCGAGTCATGGTTATAAGTTGGTTAGGTTGCAGCTCAAGGACAAGCTGCATGTCCAGGTGGGGTGTAGTGTTAGAGTACGTAATGGGTCCATTAGTCTTAGGGTTAATTAGAGATAAAAGTCACTTGCTTAGGGGTCAAGTAAGCCTTGCTTGGGAGTCAAAGTAAACTCGCAAAGAGAGGAGATGTATCAATCTAATCAAGCAAGAATTAAGAAGGAAATCTCTTCCCTCTTGCCCGGCCGTGGGCAAAAAGGCCCCCGGCCGGCCTTCTCGCGCCCTCCTTCTAGCAGCGCCATAACAGTCATCCTATCATATTCCTGTATTACTGATAATTTCTATGTTTTGGTTTTCTCCAAACCGAATGAGCCCTTTCTTTTCATTCCCAGGGAATTAGTACTGATCGCAGGAATTCTTTTCTTATGTTTACTTTCTGATGCTGCTTCGTGCCATTTGCAGATATCAACGAGTGCTTGCAGCCAGATAAATACACTTGCAATGGAATCTGTCAGAATAGCCTCGGAAGTTTTACTTGCTTTGGTTGCCCGCGTGGGACAGATTTTGACATTATTGCAAGGAAGTGCAAAGCATCCAATGTTATCTTAGGTACGGCATTTTGATTTTCAGCAAATTCAGCTAGTTGCACTTTGCAAGATCATCCGAGTCCACTCCTTCTGAAAGTGAATGATTGCTAACACGGTGGTAAAACCAATGCAATGTGACGCAGGTGTTACCATTGGACTGAGCTCTGGCGCGGGGATTCTGTTTCTTGCCGTGATTACGATCATTATCATCCATAGATGGAAGAAAGGCGTCCAGAAACAGCTCAAGAAGAGCTACTTTCGCAAGAACAAGGGCATCCTCCTTGAACAGCTCGTCTCCTCTGACCCAAGTGCCAGTGACAGCACCAAGATATTCTCCCTGGAAGAGCTAGAGAAGGCGACCAACAACTTTGACCACTCGCGCGTGGTCGGCCGTGGCGGCCACGGGACGGTCTACAAGGGCATCCTGATGGACCAGCGCGTTGTCGCCATCAAGAGGGCAAAGCTGGTGGCGAGCGCCGAGATCGACCAGTTCATCAACGAGGTTGCCATCCTGTCGCAGATCAACCATCGGAACGTCGTGAAGCTCCATGGATGCTGCCTGGAGTCCGAGGTCCCTCTGCTCGTCTACGAGTTCGTCTCCAGCGGCACGCTCTACGACCTCTTGAACGGGGCGCAAGATGGTAGGCTTCTGCCGATGCCTTGGGAGGAGCGCCTAAGGATCGCCACCGAGATCGCGGGCGCGCTCACGTACCTGCACTCGGCAGCTTCAATGTCGATACTTCATCGAGACATCAAGTCCATGAACGTGCTCCTGAACGACAGCCATACGGCAAAGGTTTCGGATTTTGGTGCGTCGAGGTCGATACCGATTGACCAGACACATCTGGTCACTGCCGTGCAGGGCACCTTTGGCTACTTGGATCCGGAGTACTACCACACGGGCCGATTAACCGAGAAGAGCGATGTCTACAGTTTCGGGGTGATTCTTGTCGAATTGCTGATGAGAAAGAAGCCGCTCATTGAGAACGAGAATGGCGAGAAGCAGAACTTGTCCAACTACTTCCTGTGGGCTATGGGGGAGAGGCCTCTAGAGGAGATAGTGGATAAGCAGGTTCTGCGGGAAGAAGATATAGAGGCGATCAAGCACGTGGCTTTCTTGGCGCGAGAGTGCTTGAACCTGAGAGGGCAGAAGAGACCTAGCATGAAGGACGTGGAGATGAGGTTACAATTCCTGAGGGCACGGAAGGTTGCTCCAGGAAAGGATGAAGTAGTTCGATCTCACCGTGATGTAGTAGGAGGAGATTGGCATGGAGGCGTTGTTCCGGCGGCTGGTCACGATGGCACACGCCAGTACAGTCTAGAGCAAGAGTACGCGTCATCCTTGCGCATACCACGATAATTTGTACTCTCTCCGTCCCACATCAGTTGATTCAGCTGATGTTGAAATGGATATATCTAGACAACTACTCCCTTGAAACAAAGTTGGTGGTGGTGACGGGTGCTTGCACTTGCACCCTAGTTCCGTCCCTAATAATCATAGACGCATGGATGTGTTATGGCC